CTCTGAGGGCTTTGCAGAGAAATTTGCTAGGTGGAAAGTGGTGTATGTTTCAGGTCTTATCAGCTTTGTGCACCCCTGGGAAGTCAGAGCTCTGAGAACCCATCAACCTGGTGTCCTAGCCTGGGAGACAAGCTTTCCGCCATCAGATTTGTTCTTGAAAGGGAGCCAGCCACTAGGGGACTTGATCTCCTCTTTTTTCCAATAAGCTTCTGTGAGCTCGGAGATCCAGAGGACTGCAGAAATAATTCAGGGGAGTCAATGTCATCATTAGATCTATCATACATTAGAAAAGAGGTGCTTGATTTGCATTATCTGTCATCTTCTCAAAACCTCTGTGTTAGCATTCCCATTTTACGGAATAGGAAACTGAGCTCAGAGATTTAGAAACTTAGCCACCAACAGCCAGTAGGTGGGAGGGAAGGTTGGGATGCAAACTCATGTCTGTCTGACTCTATGCTTGTGTTCTTTCTGACCACCTGCTGCGCTTGTCCGCTGGAGAGGAAGAAGGGTTGAGTATGACTGTACAGAGCTTTCCACCTTTGGCTTCCCCAGCTCTGTTAACTAATGTGTCTTTTCTTCCCTTTCAAGTCAGAGAGGCATTTGGTCATCAGTTATGTTGTGCTGAAGTGTAACTAGGCTTCTAAAACCAGTGGAAAGCCCTGGAGGCCTATTACTGGAGTTGCCAAAATAGGGCGAGTTGTATTTCTTTTTTCTTTCTTTCTTTTTTTTTTTTTTTTTTAAAGATTTATTTATTTATTTGAGAGAGAGAGAGAGAGAGAGCAAGTAGAGGGAGAGGGAGAGAAGCAGACTTTCCACTGAGCAGGGAGCCGGAGATCACAACCTGAGCCAAAGTCAAGTCAGCGGCTTAATCAACTGAGCCACCCAGGTGCCCCAGGGCGAGGTGTATTTCAAGGTCATGAACTCTTTTCAGTTATAGCCCAATCCCAGACCCAAAGGGTACTGTGCTAGAATATAGACTCTTTGGCTCAAAAAGGTCACAGTTTTCCACCTTCCTCTTCCTCTTGATTTCTAGCCTAAGGCTTCAGAATTTTCGGGAATGGAGTGATTCTGCTGCCAACCCTTGAGTCAGCATCTTGGATTATGCTGTGACTCTGGTTGGAACTGGAGGCTCCCAAGAGAACAGGGACTAACTATACCTGTTTAGGGTTTTGTTTTGTGTAATGCCTGACACGAGTGAGTGAATGCTTAATCAAATGAATGAATGAATGATTGCAAGTTAAAACATTTTAGAAGGCGAAAAGTCTGAAACTTCTAAAAAGCAAACCAAAGTTAGTCATAACAGTTGGCACAAGAGAAAGATTGTCTTGGCCCATGGAAGAAGCATGTCCCAAACTTTTTTAGAAATTGCCTTAAGTAGCTTTCAGATAGCCTCAAATGTGCAAGAGGAATATATTGATGATGACTGAGAATGGTTCAGAACATTTAGTCTCTTAAAACAATTTACATTGCTTTTGAAGTTCCTGGGAAGCCGGAGAAGGTTGACTATAGGACAAACGGAGTGTATTTATTTAGTATATTGAAATCATCTCTACTTTTGGAGAAATTGGTTTTGGAGTCTGTCTCATTGAAGCCTCTTGGTGAACTTAAGCTGTGGAGTGCAGGGTATAGAGTTGTTCATAGAAGGGACTGGAAAGCCTGCCCACCAGATGAGCCAGGAAAGGCAGGTCTGATGATAAAAATCATTGCCAGGGGGCTGGGTTTCAGCTGCCTTCCTCTCTTCTACCACATAGGAAACACCTGTCTTCCTCCTTTAGCATTGGCTCATTCCATCTATTTCCATAACTCAAATACTTGGGAGTTGAGAAATAGCAAAATAGCACATCCTCTGCTTAGACCTATGCAGGGCAGTATAGGAAGAAAGCTGTAAATTATTCTGATTGCTAATATAAAGTACTTTCTGAATAGCCTGCTTGTAATGCTAGTGTAGGTGTGATTCCTTTATTTTATGAGGCTTGAATTCTGCACCCTTCTCTCAATGCTCTGAGTTCCCATTTCTCTTGCTTTCTGAATCCTTATTGTAGCAAACTCTTATGAAAGATCCAAGTCCAGAGTATATGACCTGTCTCTTTCTAGAAGAACCTCCAAATGACTGATAACTTGCAACTGTAGAGAAACATAACTCACTCCTTTATAATCCCTGAGGGCAGAATAATGGGAAATAACAGGATTAAAATGAAATAGCAGGAGGTATGCTGCAGATAGAGGACTAGCTTCTGACTGTTCATAAGACCTTCTTTTTCAAATATTCGCGATCTTAATGAGATTTGGGCAGGTTTCCTTTACTCTAGCATTTCATATAAAATCCCTTGGCAAGTGTGTATATATGTAGTTCAGATTTCACCAAAGGATACCTAGAAAATATTCGGTAAGAAGTAGGCTTGTGTTCTTCGGGCATATAGGGAGCCAGCCTAGTCCTTACGGTCATGATCAGCAGAGCTGTAAGCATCCAGTATAAATTATGTCCAAAAGGCATCAGTATTTAAATATTCAGTCTTTACTCCATGCCACTAGGCATGAGTGAATATACTGATATTTTTAAGGATATATAGTGGAGACCTTGTTTAAATCTCATAACTTCAGGGGTTCCTGGACTCCTGATTTCAGCTCATGTCATGATCTCAGGACAAGCCCCACATCAGGCTTTGCTCTGGATATGGAGCCTGCTTAAGATTCTCTCTCTCTCCCTCTGATCTCCGCACACCAACCCCCCACCCCCACTCATGCTCGCTCGCTCTCTCTCTAAAAAAGTTTTTTAAGATTTTTTTTTTTTTTGGGGGGGGGGCGCCTGGGTGGCTCAGTGGGTTAAAGCCTCTGCCTTCGGCTCAGGTCATGATCCCAGGGTCCTGGGATAGAGCCCCGCATCGGGCTCTCTGCTTGGCGGGGAGTCTGCTTCCTCCTCTCTCTCTCTGCCTGCCTCTCTGCCTACTTGTGATCTCTGTCTGTCAAATAAATAAATAAAATCTTTAAAAAAAAAAAGATTTTTTTTTTTTTTTAAATGACAGAGAGGTAACACAAGCAGGGGGAGCAGTAGGCAGAGGGAGAAGCAGGCCTCCTGCTGAGCAGGGAGCCCCATATGGGGCTTGATTCCAGGATGCCAGGACCATGACCTGAGCCAAAGGCAGAGGCTTAACGACTGAGCCACCCAGGCTCCCCTAAAAAATTTTTTTAAAAAGATCTCATAACTTCATTGTAATGGCCAAGATGTCACCAACACCTCCCAGTCAGTATTTATAAGATTAAAGGGTATCAGGAATACACATTACATGACTGGTTTCCAGAGCTGAGGGGGGTCTCTAATTTGCCCTTTGAAAGAGTGAGGTCAATCTAGTTTTCCTTCTGCAACCAGCTCCTCCGCTAAGATACACCGGTGTTTCACCCGGTGTTTTCAGCCAAGTTAGAATTTTCAGCCAAGTACGAATTTCTTCACCTGAGGGACAGTTTTAATCAGTCTTAGTCTTTTAATTTTTTTATTAAGTTCATTTGACATACATGTCAACACTTGTGTAAGTTTAAGGTGTACAGCATGTTACCTTGATACATACATATAATATGATTGTCCACATAAGGATATTTATCACATCACATAATTATAGTACAGTATTATAGTCTGTAGTCTAATTAGTCATACCCTTAACCCAGCTTTTTTTCCCCATGTTCCATTTTTTAGCATGTGCTCAAAAGGAAACAAACAAATGGAAACAAAAATCTGTACTTAAATATATATCACAGCTTGTTTACGGGGACTGTTGGGAAGAATTTCTCTCTCGGGGTGCCTGGGTGGCTCAGCTGGTAAGCAGCTGCCTTCAGCTCAGGTCATGATCCCAGGCTCGGGAGATCGAGCGAAGCCCGCTTCTCCTTCTCCCACGCTCCCTGCTTGTGTTCCCTCTCTCCCTATATCTCTCTGTCAAATAAATAAACTCTTAAAAAAATTTCTCTCTAGTCTGAGGGGTATAACTAGTTGTTTTCTTAAACAACTGGTTAGTTTTTGTTTTTAAAGATTTTATTTATTTATTTGGCAGACATCGAGAGAGGAAACACAAGCAGGGGGAGTGGGAAAGGGAGAAGCAGGCTTCTGGCCAAGCGGGAAGCCTGATGCGGGGTTCGATGTGGGGCTCGATCCTGGGATCCAGAAACCCCAGGACCATGACCTGAGCCAAAGGCAAATGCTCAACCAGCTGAGCCACCCAGGTGCCCCAACAACTGGTTAGTTTTTATGTGACATCTTACCATTGTTTGTGTTTTGGTGGCTAGAAGGCTAAGAATCAATTTGTGATCTGTCTCTAGCAAGTATGGAATATAAGCATGTATGTATATATACATATATATATATATAAGCATGTATGTATATATACATATATATATACCCACACGTATATATGTATGTGTGTATGTATGTATGTATACACACACACACATTTGTAACAGTAAGGATGAACCTTACTGCTTGATTCTTCATTGTCCTTTGGTCCTGAAAGGTAACATATTTCTGCTAGAGACTTTTTCAAAGGGGCATTCTGAGGGTTTTACCCAGCATCTACCACAGTAAGTTTCCCAGAAATCCTCTAGATTAGCTGCTCAGATGTTTCAATTGCCCTTATTTAGCTGGTGGGTCTTTCCTTCTGCTGCTTTCTTTTCTGCTTCAGACTTCTGTGTTCTGTGCAAGTTCAGGCTTGGGCCACCTTCTGACCTCTTCCACCCCTGCACTGCATAGCCCCATGGACGTGGAATTATTTTCTCTCTTTTTCTCAGTGACCGTTTTTCTTGAGAAAATGCTGAGGAACAAAGGTCCCTGCCTCATTGTATAAGAAAAGGAACACTCATGTCTTTAACAACTCTGTAATAGAAAAAAGGAACTAACTGTAGTATGTGACTTAGAAACTTAAGGAGTTCTCCTGGGTTGATGCTTGGGGTTTATTTCTTGCAGGTTTGTGTAATGATTTCAGTTTAATATTCTTAAAATTTGTCCTTTTTTCTCCTAGGTGAATGTTGGATGTGTACCCAAAAAGGTAGAATTTCTATTTCTTCTTCCTTCCACACTTCTTTTACATGTTTGATAAAGCAACGCGTTGATTTATTAGCTTAGAGTGCATGAGTGAGATAATAGCTAGGTCCAGTAATTAGGACTGGTCCATCTGCACAGGATTGCTTTTTCTCAATCTAAATGATTGAATGGAAGCTGCTTAAGTATTCTCATTTAATCCTGTAGCCTCATGGATTCTCTTAACAACTGTGGTGGTTTTCTTTCCTGGTATCTGTGGTGTAGGGCACACTGAATGAACTTGTCCTTTACCTGTGAAAAAAGAGGAAGAAATGGCAGCTCTTATTTCCAAAGCTGCCTCTTGCTTGTGCTGGCAAATAATTTTACTCCACATTTGAACGTGCTTTAACATGTTCTAATCCTAAACTTACAACCTTTTGTTACTGAGATTACATTCTAAACTGGCATTTTTTTGGTAACAGGTAAACAAATATTCCTAATCTCTTCAGTGACACATACCTGAGTATAACGCCAGAAGGGTTTTTTATAATCTGTTTCCCAGTATGGGTAGGTAGGTTTGGATTTTTGTGTGTTGTTGTTGTTTTTTTAATCATAAGAAAGTTTCTTTTTTACTGTGGGACACTTTTCCTCAATTGTTTTCTTTCCTTTTGGTCTTAGATTTTGTACCCTGTTCTTTTTTTTTTTTTTTACAAATTTTATTTATTTGACAGAGATCACAAGTAGGCAGAGAGGCAGGCAGAGAGAGGAGGGGAAGCAGGCTCGCTGCCAAGCAGAGAGCCCGATGCGGGGCTCAATCCCAGGACCCTGGGATCATGGCCTGAGCTGAAGGCAGAGGCTTTAACCCACTGAGCCACCCACGCGCCCCTTTGTACCCTGTTCTAATTGGAGTCATGCAATTATGATATATAAATTATGTCAATCAGTTATAAAGTAGTTTAAACCAGTTATGGTAGTAAATCCATTGATTGGTGCTACCTCATTATTTAAATACCATCTGGGTATAGTAGCCTGAATTGGTAATATTTTGTTCCCGTATATTATGTTTTGTTTATTCATTCTATTCTGAACACATGTGCAGAACATTTACTTTATATTTTCATAGGGCTCTACTGACTTCAAAGTGCTTTTTGCATTCTTGAAGATCAGTTGGTTAATTGCCTCTTGTTTTCTAGAACAGGCTAAAGCCTGGAGTAACTGCCCTCCAGAAGGATAGAGTGGGGCAGCAGTAGAGAAGAAATCAGATGGATGGGGCTGCTACTTCCCTAATTAGGATGAGCCTATCGTATAGAGCTTCTCCAGAAGCTGTCGGATGCTATAGCAGCTTATATAATACGTATTGGAAGTAAATAAATATGGTACCTCATGATGGGATGACATATAGTGGTGTTTCTTAAAATAACCCATCTTATTTTGTAGTACTGACGAACCTGTTGTATGTACTATTTAAGATAAACAATCTAGCAGATAAAATGGTTAATTCTATATTATATGAATTTCACCTCAATTTTAAAAAATGAGCAGAATCCAGCAGTGTCACCAATTACTCATCTTTAGGCATAAATGGAGAACAGTACAAAGAAGAAATCTAACGCTTATCAAAAATGGAGTCTCAGGCTTAGCTGACAAAGAAAAATGATAGTTTGTCATCTAGAGTTCTGGATGCCAACTGGAATTCAGCTCTCTTGATGATCAGTTGTCATAAAAGGCCTTTGCAAATTTTAGACTGCATTCCACAGAGATGCAACAAACCTTTGAGTTCCAGATGCCTGATTACACAAGTCCTTGACAAGGATATGTTCATAGGTACCGAGTTTATAAGAGGGATTTGTTCTCTTAAGGTTTTCAGTCCTCAGCTTCATCTCATATCTTCTTCTAAATCACTTCACTATAAAGCTACAGATGCATTTCCATTCCCTAGAATTAATCATAGAAGATGGGGCTTCAACAAACCTAAAACTTAAACGGAGGATGTAAGCAATAATAAATTTTACCAGCAGGACTGGGAGGCTTATAACGTCCTGCTTCTATGGAGTAGGGAATGTAATAGAAATAATTTCCTGTGACATTTCAGCAGCTTCCTTACAACATCTGTCTGGTCCTATTGCTGAACTTTTAGAATGTTTAGTTTTATTTTTAATTTAAAGTTCATTATTTTTATCTGCTATTATGTAGTTACCTTTCACGCATGATTTCTTTCTTTTCTCAGGACTCATGTACTACTGTTGTGGCTACTTTTTTTTTTGTCTTGACAGGTAATGTGGAACACGGCTGTCCACTCTGAATTCATGCACGATCACGTTGATTATGGCTTTCAAAGCTGTGAGAGTAAATTCAATTGGCGGTAAGCGTTAATGCTCAGAGTGTTCTGTTTACAAATATATTTATCTTTCATAATTAAATGAGCCGTAAACTTTTTTGGGGAGGGTGTTACTGTGGTAAAATGTATATAACAAACCTTTGCAGGTGACGGATATATCCGTGGCCTTGATTGTGATGCTGGTTTTAAGGTGTGTACTTCTCTCTAAACTCATCAAGTTATGTACACTAAATATGTACAGTTTTTTGTATGTCAGTCTTACCTCAATAAAGTGGCTTTCAAAGACATGAAAAGTCCATTTTAGCTATTTTTAAGTTGTCAATACAGGGCCATTAAGTATATTCATAGTGTTGTGTAACTATTACCACCATCCATTTCGAGAGCCTTTCCTCCATCCCGAACAGAAACAAGGTGCTTATTAGACAATAACTCATCTCCCCTCCCCCCAGGCCCTGGTATCACCATCCTACTTTCTGTCTCTATGAATTTGCCTGTTCTAGGTACTTTATACGACGTTTGTCCTTTTAAGCCTGGCTTATTTCACTTAGAATAATGTTTTCAAAGTTCATCCATGTCGTGGGATGTGTCAGAATTTCATTCCTTTTTAAGGCTGAAAAATATTCCCTTGTGTTCATACCACATTTTGTTTATCCATTCAGCCTTCAGTGGACTTTTGGTTGTTTCCACCTTTAGTCTGCGGTGAATAATGCTGCTGTAAACACTGATCTACAAGTCCCTGCTTTTGGGTCTATACCTAGGAGTGAAATTGCTGGGTCAAATAGCAATTTTATTTATTATCATTTTCAAAATTTTTTGTTTCTTCGCCTCGCCCCTCAAATGGCGATTTTATGTTTAACTTTTATTTTGTTTATTTTTTATTTTATTTATTTATTTATTTTTAAGATTTTATTTATTTATTTGACAGATAGAGGTCACAAGTAGGCAGTGGCAGGCAGAGAGAGAGCAGGAAGCAGGCTCCCTGCTGAGCAGAGAGCCATGTGGGGCTCGATCCCAGAGCCCTGGGATCATGACCTGAGCCGAAGGCAGAGACTTTAACCCACTGAGCACCCGGGCGCCGCTATGTTTAACTTTTAAAGGAATTGCCATAAACTTTTAGGAGCCATCAAAATTTTCAAAATACTCAGAAATCCATCCACTTATTCAACAAATGTTTATCAAGTGGCCCCTAAGTACTAGGGACTTGCCAAAGCAGCTCTCCCTATCTTGTCTGCAGAACGAAATTTACATACCGTGGATGCCACGTGAACATCTTCCCTGGACTAGAGTAAGGGTTCTCTACATATGGCAGAGCAGATGGGCACGGGGGCAGGGACAGCTGCCTTCAGAGATACTCCCTCCTGGGGATCTTGTTGACTGCTCTGTGTGTTTGTGATTCTCTGCTGAAAGGGGTGTTCAGGGACAGATGCCCCAGTCCCTTAGGGAAAGAAGAGAACGCTGTTTCTCAGTACTGACTCAAGTTTCATTACAGCGTTATAAAGGAGAAGCGTGATGCCTATGTGAGCCGCCTGAACACCATCTATCAAAATAATCTCACCAAGGTGTGTGTGCTGGGTTTGGGGTTTGGAGAGGGGGCCGTTCTCTGCTGGAGTGTGCTACCGCTCTGGCCAGACAAAAAACATAGCCTTTGCTCGTATCTCTTGTTGTTTCTTTAATTTCTTTTGCAGTTAATGGTTTTGAGGTTGACCTGCCAGAGCGGGTCTCTGCCCAGGAGGCGTCTTTTTTCTACAGAGTGGGCAGCGCCTGCTGTGATGTGTAGACCAGGTCTCTCATGATGGCCGCCCCTTGAGTAGGTCTGGCCCTCCAGTTAGTTCTAGAAACCTCAAACAGAGACTGATTTACACAACAATACACCAGCTTATTCAGATCAGAAGTACAGCCTGGCTGGAAGGCTGCCATTGCTCATTTGCTCCCAGCAGCCTCTACCTTGGTGGCTAGATATAGTCAAGAGAACAAATTATAGTTCAGAAGGTTGTTTTTGTGAATGCAGTCTGATCAAGTACACCAGGCAAAGGCAAATATATTTACCTTCAGCAAATATATATTTGCTGAATATATCTTTTGCCAGTCTCTGGCTTTTTCTGCCTTGGTGCTTAAATGTTGTACTTCCCCTTGGGGCTACTGGAGACGTTGACAAATGGTGCACAATATGGCTGCTTTTTCTTTTCTTTTTTTTCTCTAAGAGAGGGAAAGAGAGAAAGAGCCCAGGGAGGGGCAGAGGGAGAAACAGACTCCCCACCAAGCAGGGAGCCTGTCATGCATTTCAGTCCCAGGACTCTGGGATCATGACCTGAGCCGAAGGCAGGCATGTAACAACTGAGCCACCCAGGGGTCCCTGGCTGTCCTTTTCTTGACAGTGTATATCCGACCACCCTTCATTTGCCTTCGTGGTTTCACTTTGCAGGTTCTAAGATTTCTGCATAGCTTAGATTGTATTTAGATCAGTAGATTGTCAGTGATATTTGGGCCCCCATAATCTCATTGACAGCATGTCTATCTATAAGCCAGCTTTTAGGGTTCAGTTACTTCTATAAATGGCTAACCTCATGTATTTTTATAATGATTCTTATTCATTGGGTTTATTTTTTCGGAGGGTGATATTTTCTTTCTTTTTTTTTTTTTTTTAAAGAATTTATTTATTTGACAGAGAGTGAAAGAAGGACAGAGAGCACGAGCAGGGGAAGCAGGCTCCCTGCTCAGCAGGGAGCCCGATGCAGGACTCGATCCCAGGACCCCAAGATCATGACCTGAGCCCAAGGCAGAGGCTTAACCCACTGAGCTACCCAGGTGCCCCCGGAGGGTGATATTTTCTGACCTTAATCCCAATTCAAGTATTTGAGGGCCTTCGGTCCCCTCTACATGGATGACAAGAGATTTTAAGACCATTAGACATGAGCATAGAGCATACCACTTGTTATACTAAGACACCCACATCAGTTTTTAAAAAAATGGAGTGAGCTTAAATACTTTTGCAGAAGAGCTAGGAAAGTTACTCAGGGAACAGCATTTTTTTTTTTTTTTTAATATTCACAAATCTTTTTGTGTAGTTAAACTTAGTGTATGTGACCTTATGGGAAAGGAATTATTTATAGTCGATCCAGAGCTTGTGAATAGGAAAGGATATTTTCTGTCAAGTATCTTAGGAAATGAAAATAAAAATTCTATCTGTTCCTCCCCCTCATGATTATTATTGGCAGTTGACCCAGACTCCTCTAGCACCCTTTGGGAAACCATTCTCTCCTGAGGAAGGTTTTTCTTGTGGCTTCTGGTGCTGACCTTGATTCAGCTTGGTTAAGCAGGGCATCCGGAGGGCTATTTGGGAAGGAGGAAATAACTTAATTCAGAACAGAGCATGTTCCGAAACGTTGAAATATGCTCTTTTGTGATCAAGCTCCCACGATTCCATTGTCCTGGTAAGTTGCCCACATTTGCTTGCCGATACACATATCACAGCTTCAGAAGCTTGTCCTCATTCCCCAAAAGGGAGGCCCCAGCACAGAGGGTGCCAGAGTCTGGCTTTGTAACATCTCTAGCACAGAACTTCATTGTTGTGGGATTTTGTGGTATACTTCCATTTAGTTTGAGAAAACAGAAGTGTTGCGTTTCCCTCCCTTGGCCAGAGTGTTCCTCTTTTGCCTCTGCTTTCTTCACCTTTATCCTTTTGTCTTTGTGAGCCTTCTGCCCCTCCTCCAGACACACCATTCTTCAGTGTGATTTCATTGCCAGTGAGGAGGACTTTCTCCCCAACTCCTGTGGACAGAGATGGAGGGTTTTTTCCTGGGAGGTGACTGGCACATATTTTTTTTTGGTCTCTGGATTTTGGCCTAAGATAGCATCTTTATAGCATCCTGCGGCGCACTTCCAGCATCACACGGCAACCCCCTTACCTAAGTGTCAGTGAACAGACGTTCCGCAGAAACTCAGACATGACAGAGTTGTCTTGGCGTCAGCAAACCTCAAATCTAGACGGCCTCCATAGAGAGGGAAAGAGCAGATATGTCGCCACAGGTGTTCTTGTATCTTGAGCACAGGCTAATGTCACTGTCCCTTTTCCAGTCCCATATAGAAATCATCCATGGCCATGCAGCGTTCACGTCTGATCCGGAGCCCACAGTAGAGGTCAATGGGAACAAGTACACTGCTCCTCACATCCTGATTGCCACAGGTGGCGTGCCCTCACGTCCTCAGGAGAGCCAGATCCCTGGTGAGTCTTCGCAAGGCAAATACTTGTTGTTAACCATCAAGTGGAGTATACTGTTGTCTTCAGCCTTCCAAGCGATGCTAGGGGATCTTCCTGTTCCAGTTCTTTCTCTTGGACAAGGCCACACAGAGGAGAAGGCCTCCGCAGAACCTAAATGTAATTGGCTTAACTTGTGCCTGGTGATGGGGCAAAGATATTTCTTCCAGCTCCAAGTTCAGACAGCCTACAGGTAACACAGCAAGAAAAATCAGCAAAGAATCTCCTCCTTTCAGGATGACAGAGACGGTCACCCACCTGGGTTTGTCCCCTGGGTGGTTATTTACAAGACATGTTCTTTGTTTGTTTGTTTTTGTTTGTTTATTTTAAAGATTTTATTTGTTTATTTGAGAGAGAGAGAGCGAGAGAGAATGAGAGGAGAGAGGTCAGCGGGAGAAGAGCCTGATGTGGGACTCGATCCCGGACTCCAGAATCATGACCTGAGCTGAAAGCAGTTGCTTAACCAACTGATCTACCCAGGTGCCCCTACAAGATATGTTCTGTACTTGTGTTTTGTTTAAGGAAGTGAAATCTTTTTTTTTTTTTTTTAAGATTTTATTTATTTATTTGACAGAGAGAGATCACAAGTAGGCAGAGAGGCAGGCAGAGAGAGAGGAAGGGAAGCAGGCTCCCTGCTGAGCAGAGAGCCCGACGCGGGACTCGATCCCAGGACCCTGAGATCATGACCTGAGCCGAAGGCAGCGGCTCAACCCACTGAGCCACCCAGGTGCCCCAAGGAAGTGAAATCTTGTACAGATATAACTTAATGACCTACTTGGTATGCATAGTTTTCTCTCTTACATAGAAAATTATAAAATTAAAGCAGTAAGGAATTTCAGATAGTCCTATTTGCTCTTGCATTTTGTGCACACAGGGATAAACTATGAACATACTACTGCCTTATTCTCACATAAGAAACATGGTTCCTGTCTTTCTCCCCAGCTAAATTATAAGGTCTTTTTGGGCGGTGATCATAGCTTATCCATATTTTGTATTCTCCCTGGATTGGCCTTATAAGATCCATGACCAACCTGAATTAAATGGGAAATTTGGGGTGTATATGCATTTATGTGTTTTGTTCTCTCTGGGGAGAGGATCCAAAACTTTAACTAGCTTTAAGAGGAGGTTCATGACCCCCAAAAGTTCAGGAGCAACTACCGTAAAAGACGATAAGGTACTATTCTCAAGTACCTTAAAATTTAACTGAAAATTTGGACATAAGCATCCTAATATGATGCAGTCTTCAAGACTGCTTGTTAAGTGAAAAAAAGCAAGGTATGAAACAGAGTGTATAGTATGCTACAATTTGTGTCTTTTTCAAAAGGCAGGAAGACTGTCCACATGCACTGGAATATCTCTGGAAAAATACTCAAAGCCCTGTGATGCTGACTCCCTTAAAGGAGAGCACTAGAGGTCGCGGTGGAAAGACTGCTTTTCACTAGATGCTCTGTTGTGCTTTTTGAATTTTTAAAATGTATACATTTACTAATTTAAAACATATAATAAAAGCACATACAAAGAATTAAATAGAAGGTCAGTGTTCCAGGGTTATTTCTAGGCTTAGGGCGCTCACAGGTGGGACAGATTACTATAGGATGGCATCAACCAAAAAGACTTTCCAGGAAAAAGGAGGCTAACAGATTGAGCGGTAAGTGCTGAGGAAGAGGAAGACAGAACCAGTGGGAAATAAAGATGTCTTCGAAAGGTATTGAGCCAATTCAACCAATTTTTCCAGTACTGAAGTTCTAGGCGCCCATTCGTTAAGCTGAGACTAGAAAAGAGTTAGGGCCAGATTACGGAGACTTACAAAGTCAAATGAAGGAATCTCTAGAATTCATGACAACTGAGTCAAATAACTGTTAGCTTATAAATAGAGTTGTGACAAGATGTAAGCGATAATTTTAGACAACTGATCTGACAGGGACTCACAGAGGAGGGAGATGAGTGCAGAGAGCTGTCGTAGTAGAATGTGTGGGGGTGATGATATGGTGCTGAACCCCAGTGTTAGCATCTGATCTGTAAAGGAGAAGCTCGGTTCTGCAGATGCTTACTGAGCCGCTGCTGTGGGCCAGGCCTCAGAGAGGAGGACAGGCATAACGGACTCAGAAGGAAGAATCAGCTGCTGGATTTCATTGATTCCAGGACACATTAAGAAAAAAATATATTCATCACATCTGAGATCAGGATGTGTCCTTTATTTTGTACTAAAGATTTATTTATTTTAGAGGGAGAAAGAGATCACAAGTGGGAGGGGAAGGGAGAGGGAGAGAGAATCTCAACAGACACTGCATTGAGAGTGGGGCCCGATGTGGGACTTGATCCAACGACCCTGAGACCATGACCTGGGCCGCAACCAAGAGTCTGATGCTTAACTGATTGCACTCCCAGGTGCCCCGGATGTGTGCCTTAATCATGGCACCTCGAATTTGGCAAAGTGTAGTATTTTTATTAATTGATGAAATACTGTGGGTGGCATTGAGAGAAGGAATCCTAGATGGACAACTCAGGGTTTCATTTGGGTTATTGGCGGAAAGTGTTCGATTTAACTCTGCAGTGGTAAACTTGGGAGAGGGTTACAGCTGGGACCTAAAGTTTAAGAATCAATTCTTTTTTTTTTTTTTTAAGATTTTATTTATTTATTTGACAGACAGAGATCACAAGTAGGCAGAGAGGCAGGCAGAGAGAGAGGAGGAAGCAGGCTCCTTGCTGAAGAGAGCCTGATGTGGGGCTCAATTTTAGGACCTGGGATCATGACCTGAGCCAGAGGCAGAGGCTTTAACCCACTGAGCCACCCAGATGCCCCTACGACTCAATTCTAAACATACTGAGTTTGAAGCAAAGTAGAATTATGTAGTGGGGCAGTTAGGAATATGGGACTAGGACTTGGGGGAAACGTCAAAACTGGAATACTTGAAAGTCCTCCACCGTCAGGGGAGAGTTGGTTGAAACCTTTGAAGAAAAACACAGGAGAGCCAAGGCTGAGCCGAGGGTTCACACTTACATTTGGGGGCAGGAGAATGAAACAGAGCCAGCAGAGTCTCTTCACGAGAGCCAAGACGATCTTAGTTCCTCAGAAAAATGTAATAGGCAGTCATCACTTCTCTTAATTCTAGAGAGAAAATGAAAATGTGTACTCAGGAAAGACTGGGTTGGCAGCTTCCCAAGTGGAAACTTTGACAAAACTTGTCAAAACAGTATGTGATGGCTGAGAAAGTATCTGGGTCCTATACAAAATCTTGATACCCTTTTATAAGGGAAAGCTTGGTCTGTGTGATCTGTATTGCATTTTCCTCCCTAGGGGCCAGCCTAGGAATAACGAGTGATGGATTTTTCCAGCTGGAAGAATTGCCTGGGTAAGCGGTTTGTTCTTCCTCAGTCTCTCTAGCTAACGCTTCTTCTGCCTCCCCCACCCAGCCATTAAATGCAGCCTTCCCTTGAATTTTCTTCACCTGCTTCTCTTTTAATGACCTTGGGTATCTCATCCACTAATATCCCCAGTGAACAACTCAGACCTGTCTTTTTCTTTCTTTCTTTCTTTAAGATTTATTTATTTATTTGAGAGAGAGTGCAGAGGGGCAGAGGGAGAGAAGCAGGCTCCCCGCTAAGCGCAGAGCCCAGCGTAGGGCTCAGTCTCAAAACCCTGAGATCACGACCTGAACCGAAATCAAGAGCCAGTCACTTAACTACCTGAGCCACCCAGGTGCCCCCTGACTCAGATCTTTCATTACAGTTTTTAGGGCGAGAATTAAACACACGGTGGTTTTGAAGAGTAAATAGTAAAGTCCTAAAACCATCTTCTTTCTTCACCTGGATACAGCATCATCTGCCGATGTGTCGCAATTAACTGATTCTGGTTTCCAGAGCCGCTGGTGCCCAGGGAACCTCCATAAATGAAAGCCCTGCTGTTTGCACAAAAGAGAGGTTTTCTGGGTTTGTCCTCCATGTGGATTTGTCCAGACAACCTTCGTAAATGTCTGTCACGAAATTAGATGCGTAGGAATAAAATCTACTGAGGAAGACGGTTTCTCTAATTTGAAGAAGCTGCCACTTGCAGGCTTTCTAGGTTGGAGGGACTGTTTTGGCTTAGGATGGGCCTTTATCTCCCTCTAAGTAGCACCAAATCTGGAAATCAGTGTTGCTCAACCGCCGCTGCTCCCTCGCGGGGCTGCCAAGCCCATTCCAAGTCTTAATCCTGTGTTTCTGCCGCTGCTCCCTCGCGGGGCTGCCAAGCCCATTCCAAGTCTTAATCCTGTGTTTCTGTAAAGGCCTTCACGGAGGGTGACTAATAACCCATTGTCTGAAACTTTACCTTAATTCACCTGGAGCCGCAGATGGTGTAGAAGGGGCAAGAGGGCTTCTCTGAGTCTCTTAGCTGCAGTGGAAACCACCCATGAAGATATTTGGAGCATGCACTCTTCTGACTTTGAGGGAGGCACAGTCCATTTTATATTTGCTGTTTGCAGGGCACACAACTGTGTCAGAGAACCGCTCCTTTTCCCTCATGATCTGCCCGGTCCTGTTTGGTTTTAGGGTTGAATGAGGACACATGGGAGAATGTTTCCAGAAATGTGGTCATGACTTGTCATGTCTGGATGATACAAGTCAATCTAGATTCACCCTCGTAGAATCTACTTTACAGATACCTGTCCGTGAAGTCTTTTAAAATAAAGGATTTAAAAAATCAAATCATTTATTTTAATATATTTAAAATGCTAGCAAGACAAGTTTAATAAGTGAATTTATGTGTGTTAGGAACAAAGGACTCTGGGAACATAGGAAATGAATGAACAATTTTTTTTCTTTTTCTTTTTTTAAGATTTTATTTATTTTAGAGAGAGAGTACATGAGTGTGTGTGTGTCAGGAGAGAAAGGGAGGAGGGAAAGGGAGAAAGAATTTGAAGCCGATGCCTCACTGAGCGGGGCTCAATCTCATGCCCTCGAGAAAGGAGCAGAGGTCAAACATAATAGGAAAGAGGGAGGTTGAGATGGAAGAGCTATTTCATGGTTTCCAGGCTATGGGGACATTTCTCTTTTCAAACACTGGGTTGTAAGGTAAGCTGACGTGCCACTCTTTGGGTTCATGCTTCGTCCTCTGTTTGGACCAGACCCCTCTAATGGCACAGACTCACCCCACGGATACCTTACCTTTGGAGGGTAGTAAAGAAAGCTTTCCTCTGGGGCACCTGGGTGGCTCAGTGGGTAAGCCTCTACCTTCAGCTCAGGTTATGATCTCAGGGTCCTGGGATCGAGCCCCACATCGGGCTCTCTGCTCAGAGGGGAGCCTGCTTCCTCCTTTCTCTCTCTCTGCCTACTTGTGATCTCTGTTTGTCAAATAAATAAATGAAATCTTTAAAAAAAAAAGCCCACACAACTTTCCTCTGCTCTTCCCAGATTGCTTGGTTCTTTCCAAGCACTGTAAGTTCTTTGAAGCCTCAGCAAACCCAGCCCTGACTGGGGCAGCTCCAGCTCAGGGGTATCAACGCTCCAGGCTGCAGCATGTTGGGAATCCTCATTGCCCTAGGGCCGGGATCGGCTTCTCCACCCCTGATGCAGACCTTCCTCAGCCTTTATCTAGTGCTGAAGATTCCTTTTTAGACTGAAATTTAGGCAGGGGAGTCTACTTTCATTCAGATCTATCCTGTAAGTTACATGGCTTGCTTTAAGTAGCCTGTAACCTACTGCAAAGATTGGTAAAATTGAAGAGTGGTCAAGGAGGAGTTCTGAGGGGCGCCCAGGTGGCTCAGTGGATTGTGCGTCTGCCTTCGACCCAGGTCACGATCCCAGGCTCCTGGGATGGAGCCCCACATTGGGCTCCCTGCTCAGTGGGAAGCCTGCTTCTCCCTCTCCCGTTTCCCCTGCTTGTGTTCCCTCTCTCACTGACTCTCTCTCTGTCAAATAAATAAATAGAAATAGAAATCGAAATCTTTAAAAAAAAAAAAAAAGGCAGTTCTGAGCAGGGAGGAATCATGGTGAGTTAGTTGCCAGTTTTAGGTTTAGGTATGAAGGTCACTCATAAGGAGTCATCTTGGGGAGCACCTGGGAGGCTCAGTCGGTTTAGTGCCTGCCTTTGGCTCAGCTAGGTCATGATCTCCAGGTCCTGGGATGGCACTGCCATATCAAGCTTCCTGCTCAGCAGGGAGCCTGCTTCCTCCTCTCTCTCTGCCTGTTTCTCTGCCTACTTGTGATCTCCATCTGTCAAATAAATAAATAAAATCTTTAAAAAAAATAAAAAAAATAAAAAGTCTCTAGTTTCAAAGGTTTTTTTTCTCTCTGAAGAAATGAGGCAAAAGGACTTTTTTTAAAAGATTTTATTTATTTATTTGACAGACAGAGATCACAAGCAGGCAGAGAGAGAAAGGGGGAAGCAGGCTCCCCGCTGAGCAGAGATCCCTGTGCGGCAGGGCTCCATCCCAGGACCCTGAGATCATGACCTGAGCCGAAGGCAGAGGCTTATTAACCCACTGAGCCACCCAGGCACCCCAAGAACTTTTCTTTTTTTAAAGATTTATTTATTTGAGAGATAGAGTGAGTGTGGGGAGAGGGGCAGAAGGGGAGGGAGATAAAATCTTTTAAGCAGACTCCACGCTGAGCGTGAAGCATGACATAGGGCTCGATCTCACAACCATGAGGTCACAACTGGAGCCCAAACCAAGACTCGTTGCTCAACCAACAGCACCACCCAGGCGCCCTGAGGCTGAAGAACTTTTGATAACTAAAAATATACTTCCCTTCTACAAAGGGATATTTTCTGCATAAAACTGCAGTGTGGTATCCAGGATTGACTCTTGGAGCCGCAAAAGGAAACGAATGGAAAAACTGGTGACGTCTGAGTAAGTCTGGAGTTTAGTCAGTAGCAATGTACCAACATCCATTTCTTAGTTTTGACACGGGTACCGTGATCCTGCAAGATGTTAACTTGGAGAAGAACAGGGTAGAGTGTATACAGGACACTTCTGTACTATCTTTTCAACTTTTCTGTAAATCTACAATTAGTCCGAAATCCGTTTATTTGAAAATACTAACCCTCGCTCTCGTTTCAGCCGCAGTGTCATTGTCGGTGCGGGCTACATTGCTGTAGAGATAGCCGGCATTCTCTCCGCTCTGGGCTCAAAGACATCACTGATGATACGGCATGATAAGGTAAATTCTTTGCTTTTTTCCTTTTCCCTTTCCTTTGCTTGATCTTTTTAAAAAATCTACCCTGACAATATTAAAGACTAGGGTGTAAAGCATGTGGAAGTCAGTTGGTTTATTCTGCATGGAACTGCAGAAAAGCTCTTTGAATTGGGCTATATGTCCTTATCAGCTACCAGCTGATAATGATTTTGATTGGATCAAACTGGCTGGTATTTTCATCCTGAAGTAGTAGATGGTATCAGGTGTCTTAAAAGGAAACCTGCAGGCTTAAATATAAATACTAGTTAAATTGAACAGACTGTCAACGTTAATTTCTTATTCTGGAAATCAGTTTTGTATGATCAGAGGGTAGTGTTGGATTAATAACACTCAGCCAAAAAAATGTACTACAGTGTTTGCGTTAAAAGAAAATATATCAAAGATACTTGCACACCTGTGTTCATGGCAGCATTATTCACAAGAGCCCAGGCATCGATGAAGCAGCCCAAGTGTCCATTGACAGATGAATGAATCAAGAAAATGTGTATATCATATGGTAGAATGTTATTCAGCTTTAAAAGGAAGGACATTCTGACTCGGGCTACAACATGGATGAACTTGGAGAACATTATGCCAAATGAAATAAACCAGTCACAAAAAGACAAATCTTATGATTTCCCTTATATGAGGTATCTAGTCAAACTCATAAAAACAGAAAGTAGAATGGTGGGTTACCAGGGTTGAGGGCGGAAGGAAGTGAGGAGCTGTTTAATAGAGTGTAGAGTTTCAGTTTTGCAAGAAGTAAAGTTCTGGAGATGGCTGGCACAATGAGTAGACATAACACTCCAGAACTGTATCCTTAGAAATGATTAAGTTGGTAAATTTAATGTTATATATTTTTTATCACAAAAAAATAATAATAAAGGAAGCTTACAGATCATCTTATTGAATGTCATTTTACAGATGAAGAAATTAAGGCCAAAGTTTTGCAACTGCAAATTAGCATCATAACTGAGAGTTAGCTGAGGGCTTAGAAAGCCAAGGACAGTACACTTGACCCTTGAACAACTTGGAGGTTAGGGGTGCTGACCCCTTGTGCAGTGGAAAAATCCAAGTGCAACTTTTGACTCCCTACAAACTAATAGCCTACTGTTGACCTTGACCTGGAGCCTCACCAGTAACGTGTTAACATGTAAACAGTTAACATGTATTTCGTATATGTGTTATGTCAAATTCTTACAATAAAGTATGCTGGAGAAAAGAAAATGTTGCTAAGAAAATCATAAGAGGGGCACCTTGGTGGCTCTGTTGTTTAAGCGTCTGACTCTTGAATTTAGTTTAGGTCATGATGTCAGGGTTATGAGATTGAGCCCGTCATCCGGCTCCATGCTGGGCGTGGAACCTGCTTAGGATTCTGTCTCTCCCTCTCCCTCTCTCTGAAAAAAAAAAAAGTCTTAAGAGAGGGGCGCCTGGCTGGCTCAATGGGGAGACCATGTGACTCTTGATTCCAGGGTCATGAGTTCAAGCCCCACACCGGGTATAGAGCTTACTTAAAGAAAAAGAAAATCATAAGAGAAAACACATTTACAATATCATACTGTAAAAAAAAATCTGCATAGGTGGACCCATGCAGTTCAAACATGTTCATGGATCAGTGGTTTCTGCCAATATGCAGCCTCTATGTCATTATCTGGTGAAGTGTTGCTTTATATGTATTTTTTTTTTTTAAAGATTGTATTTATTTATTTGATAGAGAGCACAAGCAGGGGGAGTGGCAGGCAGAGGCAAAGGGAGGCTCCCCACCAAGCAGGGAGCCCAATGCAGGTCTTGATCTCAGGACCCCAGGATTATGACCTTAGCCAAACGCTTAACCGAATGAGCCACCCAGGCACCCTGTTTTTGTTTTTTTTTTTTTGGTTTATTTTTTGTTTTTTGTTTTTGATTAATCATGATAGTACCACTGGTTTTAGTACAGTTTTGAGCTTTCAGGGACATAGTTCCAGACAGTAACAAGAGTGTTGGCCTAAGAATCTGGTTGACCTTAACAAGTGTGTGATTTGAGCAAGTCATTTAATGCTTTAGGAACATTTATCAGATCCCTAACCATTCAAATGCTATGATTCTAATTCTTGATTATTTGAGCAAATAGAGGGAGACAAGGGAAATTAATAACCCCAGTCAACATGTACTTAAAGGAACTTTCTCTTTGGCCTTGAGACTTATCATATAATTCACCCGCAGGAGATTTATATCCTGAAGAATGTCTCCCCTAGGTAAATGTTATGTTATTTTGCATCGCAGGAGTATATCCAGAAAACTGGAAGGAAGGAGAGAGGTAGAGGGATTGACAGCCTTAATTTAATGTATAAGTAAGGAAATAAACTGCAGCAGTGTATCAGTAGAGTGGATAATCCCTGCATTTGGAAAACCAGCTCATTCGCACATGCACTTGGGTTTCCTGCCCTTGCCAACGCCCAACCCCCAAACATCAGGCTGATTCTCCTCTTCCCTGTCCTGGTGTATGTCCGTTCTAGAGCTATCCTATGAGTAACTCGTGACCTCCTATCTTCACCCTGCCTGGGGTTTGTTGCAGGTGGATTATCACAAAGAATTCTCCAAGGCTGTGGCCTTGACTTTTTTGCATCGATAAGGAGATTTTGCTAGTGAGATCTTCCCTTAAATCATACTAGAGTAGAAGCTGCCTTGGAAATACAGAAAGGGGAAGGAGAATTTCTGTTCCCAAGACATAAATATGGAGAAAAGCAGCAGGCTTGAGAGGAGAGGGACATGGCAAAGAGAATAGAAGCCTGAAGGTTACCTGTCTGTTTAACTCTAAAACGGGAGTGCGTGAAATCAGACATAGTACAGACATTGGTGGTGATGTAGGAATACAGATTGAAACTCCACTTACAATATGGCCATGAAGGAAAGAGGAGATAGGAGGGAAGATGCTGATATTTGGGTACCAAGTTTGTAATGTTATCTTCATTTAAGTTTTATTCCTTTCCCACCACCCATCTCTCTGGTGCCTCTGTTTGTATACAGGTACTTAGAAATTTTGATTCAATTATCAGTTCAAACTGCACTGAAGAGCTGGAGAATTCTGGCATAGAGGTCCTGAAGTACTCACAGGTATGGCTGAGCCCCAGGTATGCTTATAGCTCTTCTTCCTGTGTGTTGTGAATCACACTTTCTGCTTTTGGTTCCACCCGAGTGTTTAATAAATGCAAACTCTGTGTCTCCCCCAGTCAACGAATCCCTTTCTAGAGTACTACCAATTCTTTTCTTTGTCCTAAGAAGCTGTATTTCTCAATATGTTAGTAAAGTCAAGGTATAAAAGATAAGAAATCTGGTAGTTAAATCTAGTTAAAACTACAACTCTTGTGTGTGTGTGTGTGTGTGTGTGTGCTCAAATGCCTTATCGAACATGCTTATTTTTGAGGATTGTATTTCTTTTTCGGGGAATAAAATTATGGACTCTGTTTTTAAAGTGCACCCCTTTGAGTTCTGCAAATGGACAGACTTACAGAGTACTCTACTTCTTTTTTTTTTTTTTTTAAAGATTTTATTTATTTGATGCAGAGAGAGAGATCACGACTAGGCAGAGCAGCAGGCAGAGAGAAAAGGGGAAGCAGGCTCCCCGCCGAGCAGAGAGCCCGATGTGGGGCTCGATCCCAGGACCCTGAGATCATGACCTGAGCTGGAGGCAGAGGCTAAATCCATTGAGCCACCCAGGCACCCCAGAGTACTCTACTTCTTAGGGAATCACTGAATTTCAGTTTTCATGTAGCATTAGGTTTGCAAAAGCAATTATGTCTCTAGAGCTGCATCCTCTCAGTGGTGGCCCCATCAAGTAAAATAATAAATGTGAGGTTGCTTTGTGAATGTAGAGGTGTTAACCTGGTAGTGGGGACAGAACCCCCTGGGTTCTTCACCAAACTGTGTGCACCTAGCTCTTCTGATCCAATTCTCACCCACTCCCTGTGCTGATTAGGAACATCCAGGAGAAATACCAACTATGAGGTGTGAGTGAGGTTCTTAGCAATGCTGCTGCGGCCTGTTTCCTCCCACCCTCCAGTTGCCAACACTGTGCTTACTAGATTTGTGACTTAAGATTTTATCATGTTTTTTAAGAAGCACAGTTTAAAAACCTTGTTTTTAAGCTGAAGCATTAGGGTGTTGACAGAAACGGACACTTCTGGCTGTCGGCTGGATAATTTGGGCCAACCTAGGAAACAGTCTTGGCTCCTAGGAGTTGCGGTGTTGGCGTCCTTTGAGCAAAAGTGAGTGTCAGCATCAAGGATCCACATATAGGACCTGGTGGAGAATTTTTAAATGTTAAGAGTTCTAATTTCCTCTTTGTTTTCCATCTTCTCTCCCTCTCTCCAAATTAACACGTTTTATTTGCCAATAGGTCAAGGAAGTGAAGAAGACTTCCTCTGGCTTGGAACTGTGCATGGTTACCTCAGTTCCTGGTAGGAAACCCACCTTGACCACGATTCCGGATGTTGACTGCCTGCTGTGGGCCATTGGGCGGGACCCAAATTCCAGTGGCCTGAATTTAAACAAAGTGGTAAGCTTAGTCTAACCAAAACACTTGAATATTTAGCACTTATGTGTTCCCCACCACCTTGACCCCTAAACTTTTGGTGGGTTAGATTTTTTTCTTTTAATCTGTGCATCATTTGTCATCAAATCCCATTGCTTCTTGAAATTGAAAAAAAATTTATTTTACCTTTTTAATGTGATCATCCTAGATCAGGTCTCTGCCCTGACTAGCCGCTTCCTTACAGATTTCCTTTTTACAATGATACTGGCTCTTTAAAGCCTTGAAATTATTCCTTATCATCTATAACCTAATCTCGATTATTGGGTGTGTGCCGCTGCTCCCTCGCGGGGCTGCCAAGCCCATTCCAAGTCTTAATCCTGTGTTTCTGCCGCTGCTCCCTCGCGGGGCTGCCAAGCCCATTCCAAGTCTTAATCCTGTGTTTCTGTAAAGGCCTTCACGGAGGGTGACTAATAACCCATTGTCTGAAACTTTACCTTAATTCACCTGGAGCCGCAGATGGTGTAGAAGGGGCAAGAGGGCTTCTCTGAGTCTCTTAGCTGCAGTGGAAACCACCCATGAAGATATTTGGAGCATGCACTCTTCTGACTTTGAGGGAGGCACAGTCCATTTTATATTTGCTGTTTGCAGGGCACACAACTGTGTCAGAGAACCGCTCCTTTTCCCTCATGATCTGCCCGGTCCTGTTTGGTTTTAGGGTTGAATGAGGACACATGGGAGAATGTTTCCAGAAATGTGGTCATGACTTGTCATGTCTGGATGATACAAGTCAATCTAGATTCACCCTCGTAGAATCTACTTTACAGATACCTGTCCGTGAAGTCTTTTAAAATAAAGGATTTAAAAAATCAAATCATTTATTTTAATATATTTAAAATGCTAGCAAGACAAGTTTAATAAGTGAATTTATGTGTGTTAGGAACAAAGGACTCTGGGAACATAGGAAATGAATGAACAATTTTTTTTCTTTTTCTTTTTTTAAGATTTTATTTATTTTAGAGAGAGAGTACATGAGTGTGTGTGTGTCAGGAGAGAAAGGGAGGAGGGAAAGGGAGAAAGAATTTGAAGCCGATGCCTCACTGAGCGGGGCTCAATCTCATGCCCTCGAGAAAGGAGCAGAGGTCAAACATAATAGGAAAGAGGGAGGTTGAGATGGAAGAGCTATTTCATGGTTTCCAGGCTATGGGGACATTTCTCTTTTCAAACACTGGGTTGTAAGGTAAGCTGACGTGCCACTCTTTGGGTTCATGCTTCGTCCTCTGTTTGGACCAGACCCCTCTAATGGCACAGACTCACCCCACGGATACCTTACCTTTGGAGGGTAGTAAAGAAAGCTTTCCTCTGGGGCACCTGGGTGGCTCAGTGGGTAAGCCTCTACCTTCAGCTCAGGTTATGATCTCAGGGTCCTGGGATCGAGCCCCACATCGGGCTCTCTGCTCAGAGGGGAGCCTGCTTCCTCCTTTCTCTCTCTCTGCCTACTTGTGATCTCTGTTTGTCAAATAAATAAATGAAATCTTTAAAAAAAAAAGCCCACACAACTTTCCTCTGCTCTTCCCAGATTGCTTGGTTCTTTCCAAGCACTGTAAGTTCTTTGAAGCCTCAGCAAACCCAGCCCTGACTGGGGCAGCTCCAGCTCAGGGGTATCAACGCTCCAGGCTGCAGCATGTTGGGAATCCTCATTGCCCTAGGGCCGGGATCGGCTTCTCCACCCCTGATGCAGACCTTCCTCAGCCTTTATCTAGTGCTGAAGATTCCTTTTTAGACTGAAATTTAGGCAGGGGAGTCTACTTTCATTCAGATCTATCCTGTAAGTTACATGGCTTGCTTTAAGTAGCCTGTAACCTACTGCAAAGATTGGTAAAATTGAAGAGTGGTCAAGGAGGAGTTCTGAGGGGCACCCAGGTGGCTCAGTGGATTGTGCGTCTGCCTTCGACCCAGGTCACGATCCCAGGCTCCTGGGATGGAGCCCCACATTGGGCTCCCTGCTCAGTGGGAAGCCTGCTTCTCCCTCTCCCGTTTCCCCTGCTTGTGTTCCCTCTCTCACTGACTCTCTCTCTGTCAAATAAATAAATAGAAATAGAAATCGAAATCTTTAAAAAAAAAAAAAAAAGGCAGTTCTGAGCAGGGAGGAATCATGGTGAGTTAGTTGCCAGTTTTAGGTTTAGGTATGAAGGTCACTCATAAGGAGTCATCTTGGGGAGCACCTGGGAGGCTCAGTCGGTTTAGTGCCTGCCTTTGGCTCAGCTAGGTCATGATCTCCAGGTCCTGGGATGGCACTGCCATATCAAGCTTCCTGCTCAGCAGGGAGCCTGCTTCCTCCTCTCTCTCTGCCTGTTTCTCTGCCTACTTGTGATCTCCATCTGTCAAATAAATAAATAAAATCTTTAAAAAAAATAAAAAAAATAAAAAGTCTCTAGTTTCAAAGGTTTTTTTTCTCTCTGAAGAAATGAGGCAAAAGGACTTTTTTTAAAAGATTTTATTTATTTATTTGACAGACAGAGATCACAAGCAGGCAGAGAGAGAAAGGGGGAAGCAGGCTCCCCGCTGAGCAGAGATCCCTGTGCGGCAGGGCTCCATCCCAGGACCCTGAGATCATGACCTGAGCCGAAGGCAGAGGCTTATTAACCCACTGAGCCACCCAGGCACCCCAAGAACTTTTCTTTTTTTAAAGATTTATTTATTTGAGAGATAGAGTGAGTGTGGGGAGAGGGGCAGAAGGGGAGGGAGATAAAATCTTTTAAGCAGACTCCACGCTGAGCGTGAAGCATGACATAGGGCTCGATCTCACAACCATGAGGTCACAACTGGAGCCCAAACCAAGACTCGTTGCTCAACCAACAGCACCACCCAGGCGCCCTGAGGCTGAAGAACTTTTGATAACTAAAAATATACTTCCCTTCTACAAAGGGATATTTTCTGCATAAAACTGCAGTGTGGTATCCAGGATTGACTCTTGGAGCCGCAAAAGGAAACGAATGGAAAAACTGGTGACGTCTGAGTAAGTCTGGAGTTTAGTCAGTAGCAATGTACCAACATCCATTTCTTAGTTTTGACACGGGTACCGTGATCCTGCAAGATGTTAACTTGGAGAAGAACAGGGTAGAGTGTATACAGGACACTTCTGTACTATCTTTTCAACTTTTCTGTAAATCTACAATTAGTCCGAAATCCGTTTATTTGAAAATACTAACCCTCGCTCTCGTTTCAGCCGCAGTGTCATTGTCGGTGCGGGCTACATTGCTGTAGAGATAGCCGGCATTCTCTCCGCTCTGGGCTCAAAGACATCACTGATGATACGGCATGATAAGGTAAATTCTTTGCTTTTTTCCTTTTCCCTTTCCTTTGCTTGATCTTTTTAAAAAATCTACCCTGACAATATTAAAGACTAGGGTGTAAAGCATGTGGAAGTCAGTTGGTTTATTCTGCATGGAACTGCAGAAAAGCTCTTTGAATTGGGCTATATGTCCTTATCAGCTACCAGCTGATAATGATTTTGATTGGATCAAACTGGCTGGTATTTTCATCCTGAAGTAGTAGATGGTATCAGGTGTCTTAAAAGGAAACCTGCAGGCTTAAATATAAATACTAGTTAAATTGAACAGACTGTCAACGTTAATTTCTTATTCTGGAAATCAGTTTTGTATGATCAGAGGGTAGTGTTGGATTAATAACACTCAGCCAAAAAAATGTACTACAGTGTTTGCGTTAAAAGAAAATATATCAAAGATACTTGCACACCTGTGTTCATGGCAGCATTATTCACAAGAGCCCAGGCATCGATGAAGCAGCCCAAGTGTCCATTGACAGATGAATGAATCAAGAAAATGTGTATATCATATGGTAGAATGTTATTCAGCTTTAAAAGGAAGGACATTCTGACTCGGGCTACAACATGGATGAACTTGGAGAACATTATGCCAAATGAAATAAACCAGTCACAAAAAGACAAATCTTATGATTTCCCTTATATGAGGTATCTAGTCAAACTCATAAAAACAGAAAGTAGAATGGTGGGTTACCAGGGTTGAGGGCGGAAGGAAGTGAGGAGCTGTTTAATAGAGTGTAGAGTTTCAGTTTTGCAAGAAGTAAAGTTCTGGAGATGGCTGGCACAATGAGTAGACATAACACTCCAGAACTGTATCCTTAGAAATGATTAAGTTGGTAAATTTAATGTTATATATTTTTTATCACAAAAAAATAATAATAAAGGAAGCTTACAGATCGTCTTATTGAATGTCATTTTACAGATGAAGAAATTAAGGCCAAAGTTTTGCAACTGCAAATTAGCATCATAACTGAGAGTTAGCTGAGGGCTTAGAAAGCCAAGGACAGTACACTTGACCCTTGAACAACTTGGAGGTTAGGGGTGCTGACCCCTTGTGCAGTGGAAAAATCCAAGTGCAACTTTTGACTCCCTACAAACTAATAGCCTACTGTTGACCTTGACCTGGAGCCTCACCAGTAACGTGTTAACATGTAAACAGTTAACATGTATTTCGTATATGTGTTATGTCAAATTCTTACAATAAAGTATGCTGGAGAAAAGAAAATGTTGCTAAGAAAATCATAAGAGGGGCACCTTGGTGGCTCTGTTGTTTAAGCGTCTGACTCTTGAATTTAGTTTAGGTCATGATGTCAGGGTTATGAGATTGAGCCCGTCATCCGGCTCCATGCTGGGCGTGGAACCTGCTTAGGATTCTGTCTCTCCCTCTCCCTCTCTCTGAAAAAAAAAAAAGTCTTAAGAGAGGGGCGCCTGGCTGGCTCAATGGGGAGACCATGTGACTCTTGATTCCAGGGTCATGAGTTCAAGCCCCACACCGGGTATAGAGCTTACTTAAAGAAAAAGAAAATCATAAGAGAAAACACATTTACAATATCATACTGTAAAAAAAAATCTGCATAGGTGGACCCATGCAGTTCAAACATGTTCATGGATCAGTGGTTTCTGCCAATATGCAGCCTCTATGTCATTATCTGGTGAAGTGTTGCTTTATATGTATTTTTTT